AGTAGTAGTAGTAGTAGTAGTAGTAGTAGTAGTAGTAGCAGTAGTAATATGTAAGGTCTATGTTATGGTATAGCAGTTGAATAGGTTTTATTGTTATGTTTAGTTTACTTTTGCTTTGTTTTAGAAGAGTTTGTGTAAATAGTTCTAGGACGTCGGGTTAAGTAATGGTGTCTGCAGAGAAGACATGAAACAGAATGTCACACAGGTGGCCGTTGGCAAATAGCAGAGGAAAGAGGCCCTGGACTGCCAGCATTTATCATGAAGAGTCTCAGTCCTAACTGAGATACGTATGGCTCAAAGGAGGTAGAAGCCTCCAGGGTCAACACCCATCAGTCAGCCAAACTCAGCTCAGACAGAAATCGTAGGCTGTAGCCGTAGTCTCACTCTCCCTTCCTTCATAGGGCACAGGCAATTAAGAACAGGATGCCAATGGGTTCCAAGGGCAGTGCTTTCATGGGAACAAGCAGAAGTTGACTTAGTTAAACACGAGGAGGACTCCCCCTATTCAAGATGCTCATATCACTTCCTTCTGCCCTTACCAGGTGTCAGCATCCTGCATATACACCTTTGTGTTATCACTAACCAGAGTCATCATGCCTCGAGGTCAGAAGAGTAAGCACCATGCTCATGCAAAACGCAACCAGGCCTGTGGTGATGCTCAGGTTTTTGGAGGTGCTCAGGAATCAGCAAAGGCATCAGCCCATGAAGCAGCAGAGGCTGGAGCTCAGAAAGCAGAAGAGTCCTCTGCTTCCTTCCTGAGCCAGTCAGATTTTGAGTTAGCACTTCAGGAAGTAAAAGACTCAGTCGTGAGTACTGTGATCCTTTCTTGCTCTGCATCAGATAAAAGTTTCTATGAAGAATTTGATGAACATGAGGAAAAGATAATATTTCCTGAGGTCGGATGCCTCAGTTGGAGTCCATACCAAAGGCTCCTATCCAGGAAGGCGCTACTGCTGTTGCACCTCCTGCTCAGCAACTACGAGAGGAGGCGGCTTAGTACCAAAGAAGAAATGCTGAATTTGCTCACCAAGAGGCATGAAACGGATTTTCCTGAGATCCTCCGGAGGGCCTCCGAGAAGCTCGAAAGAGCCTTTGCAGTTGAAGTGAGAGAAGTCGACTCCAGTGGTCCTACATACAACCTTATCAGCATGCTGAAACTCCCCAACAACGGGAGGATTCGTGCTGGCAAGGGCTTACCCAAGACCGGTTTCCTGATGAGTATCCTGGCCATCATCTTCATCAGGGGCAACTCTATCAGTGAAGAAGACATGTGGAAAATCCTGAAGAAGCGTCAGATCTACCCTCGGAGGAAACATCCCATCTATGGAGAGCCTCGGAAGCTTATTACCGAGCATTTTGTGAGGGTGAAGTACCTGGAGTACCGACAGGTGGCCGGCAGTGATCCTCCACGCTATGAGTTCCTGTGGGGTCCCCAAGCCCATGCAGAAAAGGTGAAAGTCCTGCTGTATTTGGACAAGATCAACAGCACAGCACCTAGTGCCATCTCAACCACTTGTGAAGAAGCATCTCAAGAAGCACATGACCATTAGAAGCTGAGGATGAAGCTTACCCTGTTACCAGTGCCGAGGCTGTTGAAGATCCCACAGTAGGCTGTCTCGAAACTTCTTCCCAACCATGGTGAACCTTCAAGTAATTCTATCAACCACATATAAAAGTAACGCACCACAAGCGATGTTTCCTTGAAAATATGAAATAATCCCACAGTTAGTACCCTGGGAGTCGCAGGTGTTGAAATCGGGTTAAGCCTGATTTTCTTTAATGGTTTTACTGTGTGCTTTTGTAAAGTTAAATTCAATAAAATGTTTTCCTTGTCTTGTAAGAGAAAGTGGATAAAATCAAATGTTTAGGAATTATGCTTTGTGTTTCTTCATTGATATTTACCAAATATAAAGTGTATTCTCCTTGGAAGGCCGGGCGGAAGTACTGGGAAGCTAATACAGTGTTCTAGCTTCTGATGTTAGAATTTTTGAGCGCATTAACTGCAGTTGTACCAGTGAGATCTGAACTCCCCTTTGGGATTTAAAGATAAACTGGAAAAGAGTAAGGGAGATGGTGTTTCTTACGAGAGCAAACTAGTGCAAATTCACGGAGCAAGACATTGGTGAACATGTGGACTAGGCAATTTCCCAAAATTATTTGCAATTTTCACTGGTATTGTGGGTGCTGGCCAAACTGACACTGGAAGTCATACAAACTTGTCATGTCCTCACATGATGTTCCTCAGAGTTGAGGGGCAAAGTCCTGTAACTCCATGGTGACTCCAAAAGAAATTACACCTTGAGAGAATTTTCTTGGGAATGGTGTACATCACATCAACTGACATTTCATTTTCACAGTTCTGCAGGCTAGAAAGTGCAAAATCAAGATGTCAATGGTCTCAGTTCCTAAGATGGTTACCCTTCTTGGCTTTGAGGTAAAGAGAGAAGCAGTAGTAAGAGAAAGACAAAGATGGAGATCCAGAGAAGGTAGTGAAGGAGGAAGATCCAGATGGAAGCAGAGAG